GGCTTGTAAACATTGTACCGATGTTTTACAAATGCATGTCAAATGATAGACTTAAAAAAAAAAAACTTTGCAGGCCATTGTTTGCTTCATTGCACGGTGTACAGAAGCGTTCAAAGGTTAAGGCTGTTGATTGTTTTAATTGTACGGTGTTCGATTCTAATACGAAGCTCATATGTTTGTACGGAAAATTAGTGTCGATTTTACTGTAGACGTCTCTATTGGAATAATTGATTTTTAATGATCGATGTTGAATCCGAATAACGAATCCAAAAGATGTAGCGTGTTATTTTTTTTTCTTCGGGTCCAACTTTTCTTTTCGAATTTAATTTGCTTTTGGAGATTCACGTCGGCGTCTCAGTTGCTCATTAGGCAGCGGGTTAGTCTTATAATTGATGTGAAGCCTGTGGGTGATCCCACTTGACTTTCCTAACAAAAGCCGCCGCTAGGAGACGCGCCTTAAGCCTATAAAAAGGAAATAATATTCTCACTGGCTCGATAGCGTCGTAGGCATTGAACCAGTTTCATAATCGGTAAGAAGTTAAGTAGTTATGTGACGGAAACGAATGAGAACTCTCGTCTGGAATGCAATCGCTTTTACAAAATATTCGCCGACTGATCTAGTGTGACGGCACTTGGTCCAGGGTCGAATCCTTTGGTCACGGCGCCAACGGTGACGTCGCTCCTCCGGGTCGCTCCCTGCTGCTCCAAGTGTGACGTTCCAACCCCTTGGTTAGATGATTACCAGCCTCGCCTTTCCCAACTCGCTTCCAACACCTGGTTACCAGGGTAACTGTACTGATCTCCGGTCTGCCTACCCACGCTGTGATTAGATCTTAGACAGACGGGATCAAACAGGGATTGGGGCCGTATGCAAGCTGAGTTCGACGGGGTGGCAAAACACAAGTAAAAGAAAAAAAAACTCACGAGACCAAAAATTACTGATAAAAAGAGTAACAACCTTTATATCTAATGTTCGTTACATAAAATTATTCTTACTTCCCGACCCGCTTTGTGGACTGTGGCACCAAGCTTCTATCATACAACTTAAAAGACTTCGAGTTGCCTACTCTCTAAAATTTGTGTGTCGGGTGTGGTTTAGTTTTGACACTGGGCGCTAATCTCTACCAGTCGTTCACGGCTGATTCTTCTCTTCGGCTTGAGTTGGACGTATTTCTTCACTTCGATTTGGTTTGAGACGAATTTCTGTTCTTGGGCTTGGTTTGATTTCAACTTCTTCTATGCATAACTGCAAGTAATTTCTTCTTCTTCCGTCCTGCAACACTTCTCTCTGCCGTCTGAGGTGATCTGAGCTCTCTGTCGTCCGGGGCTGAACTGAGCTCTCTGCTTGGCCTGCAACTTTACTGCCTGTCTGGCCTGCAACTCTTCTCTCTGCCGTCTGAGGTGGACCCTTCTCGCTGCCGTCCGGGGCTGAACTGATTTCTGTCGACTGGGGTCCTGCTTTTATTGACGCCGCAAACTGGGGTGGGTCTGTCGGCGTCAGGGTTTTCTCGATAATTCCAAAAGTCGCATTATTTCTGATTTCCCATTATCGCTATTATTTTCACCCCTACTTCCTCACAGTGCCTCTGGTGGGGAGGCGCATACCCATCTCTCCCGGTCTCTCGTATGTCAGGTGACCGTTTTCGACCAATGGGTCTTGATCGAGCGTCCTTTTCCTCTTTCTCGCATATCACGTGACCGCTTTCGGCTAATGAGATTCTGGTTGGGCGTCTTCCGTACTTCGTGACGTCTCCAATCGGGCGTGGCTTATCCGTCGTTGTTCTGGGAAAGAACACCTTGCTAAAAAAAACAAAATCTAATTTGGCCTTTTTCGCACGCACGAAAAATGACAATCTCGGCCTTTCTCACCTTTCTGGTTCCTGTCAAAACAGCCCGCCGCTAATTAGATGTGACTTCAGGAAGAATTTTTCCCGTCTCGCTGGCGCTTTCTGTGAGCCAAGAACAATTGTTTTTACCTCTTTGTTTTTGCTCAGACCTGATAGTCAAAAATCTTAATTATCTGAATTGAAAATGTCTTCACTTCATCATCGTGGGGGTTCTAATTTTTAACAGGTCAGAATCTGTATACAATTCCAGCGGTCACCTCCTCATCCCAAAAGACACCTTTCTCCGATTAATATTTCGTTTTCCATTGTTCTAAAGATCCCATTTCTCCAAATTGATAATGAGTCTTCTACACAAAAGTAGGCCAGATGCTTTGACCGACATTTTTATCAATCGTACATATGTTCATACACTTTTACCAAGCCTGTTTTCTTTCTTTCTTTTAATTACCTTTAATTCTATTCTCCCAAATAACAATCTCCATTGTCACTTGAAATTCGGTCAGGCGCGTTGGCCTAGATACCTTTTGACACCTGTTTTCGCTAATGACCGGCCTTTTGCATTACTCATCCTCTTTCCTTTTTCTTTCTCTCTCTCTTTTTCTTTTTCCCTTCTTTTTTTTCTTCCCTTAGGATCGCCTAAGTACAATTAGAGAATTATTCTCGAAACTCAATTATTCTTCGTCTAAAAAACTAACAACTGGTTAATAAACCGAATAAAAAAAAATTAAATCATATTTCTATGAATATTTCTTTTTTTTTTTAGTCTTTCTAATAATGCAGGGTGCCACACTAGTGGAGGATTTAATTTTCAAGGATGGCTTTTACACCCTTGTGCAAATTAATTGAAACAAAACGAATAATTCTGTTATTATTTACTTTTTTTTCATATTTTTCCAATGATTCATGACCCTGTTCACATGTTAGTACATCGTATGTCTATTCCACGAAGTCATTCCTTGCAGATTGACCACAGATTCTCGATTGGATTTAAATCAGGAGAGTTTCCAGGCCAGTCTATAGTACTTTGTTTTACTCACCGGTATGGCTTGACAGTGTGTTCGTGCAGCGTTACAATTTTCGTTCGCTACCTTGGATTAATGTCCATCGCATGCAATGGCCGTAGGACAACTAATCGACAGTCGAGATATTAGTGTCTGGGCGTGATAAAAATCTGATGTAATCACGGATGACGCAATATTTTTCAAGGTCAAACAAATATCATCATACACACCGAAAATATATTCATATTACTGCACACTACTGCAAATGGCCTAATCTGAGGAAAATATAGAAATCAATTACACCCTGTCACTCCAATGGGTCTAAAACTGACCGTATGGTGAAAGAAAGGAAACTAAATCGATTGTTTCAATTAATTTACACAAGGGTGTATATAATGCTTTTGTGAATACAATAATTTACACAAGGGTGTAGATTCGAGGAATGACTTCTCATTTGTTTTAAAACTGAATTTTATTTCGGATTTAGGCTTGCTGTTTTCATTATCTAATTCTTACCGCATATATAACAGTATTTTAAGAATTGAGGTATATATAAAAATAGATGTTCTCATCTAATTTGAGGATGTTGCTTTCAGATACAATATCCATTTTCATTCATGTCCTCTAAATTGTTTTTAGATATATGCATGTGTAGAGGGTGTGATAGCTACGATTTGTTTCGTCAGCCATAAAGTAGCAACGCCTCTAACTAAGGAAACATGAAAAAACACAGATATGTATTTATAAAACAAACAATAACAACTATTTATTATGCGAAACACTGGCACCGTGGAAAAGAACAAAAGGATGAATCTCTGTCAGAGCAATTAGATCGTTGTCGGAACGGTAAGCCTTGTTCATAAATCACACGTGTAAGCTTTTCGGTAGCGTATTTGGTTTTAGTATGCGAAGCTCGTATTTACAGATAAATCCAATTGTCAAATTGGCAGACCTTTAGTTCTCGTAGCAAATTCCTCGTCCAGGAGTAGTGAGTGAAATTTTACGGCGCCGATGTGTCGTTCCTGGTCCATCGATGCGGTTGTTTCTATTCTGTCGCTGTTTAAGTACTGATTCTCCTCTGCTTATATAGATAGAGATAGGCTCAACCTGAACTCAGTTTTAGATTCTCTATCTTCAGTTTGATTGGTCAGACGTCGAATCCTTAATTTTGATTCGCTGATTTTGTTATTTAAGTGAAGCTACGTCTACGCGTTGTTTAGTTCACGGCGTTTAAATGTCTAAGTTAACCAAGGCTTTAATCCTGGTAACATCCGCTCGTGCTAGGGAAAATATCTTTTAAGTTTTTGGAGGTGCAATCCATGTCTACATGCACGAACATGTATACATATGGGCGTAAATCCCAAATTTTAAATGCTTCAGCAATAAACTACATAATTAGGTGTTTAAGACCACTTAATGGGTGGAGAATTCAAAATGAATACGTTGACAGGTTAATGGCGTGCCAAAAATATCCTTTTTTATAAATTAAAATGTCATATTTTTATCAGTCCTATACCTTTATACAACCATTTTATATGATGCATTCGTGTATTATGATCTTGTGACAATTATAGTAACTATATACAGGGTGTTCATAAAGTTCGTGTGCACTTAAAAAAATTATAACTGTATTTGTATTTGCGATAAAAATAATCAGTAAAAAATGTTGTAAAGTTTAATGTACCTAGTTTTAAGTATAGCTAAAATAACTAATGTGATTTCAGGCATTACTGTAAATCAGTTGGCAAATGTTTTCAGTGAATTGCAAAATCGTATTACCCTTTGTATTGCCAATGATGGAGGACATGTTGAAACTTAAATAAAATTTCAATAAAACCTTAAAAATATAGATTTACTTCTTTCTAATCCTTTTTACAAATTATTATTACGATGTCTGTGTTTTTCTCTGTGACGTGGAACTGCTTCTGAATATTGTCCTGATGTTGTATGGGTGGCAGATTTTTTAAAAATGTTTTCCGATGAACTCTTGACAAAAAGCAAAGCAGACTAGCAATTTTCTGATCCTCCTCCTCGACCTTTCTGCAGACACCGACGTTATGGTTGCATGTTAGTTGTTATTCTGAAGGGTAGGCTGGATGCTAATAATTTCCTGCTGGTGTGTGTCTGGGTCACCACTTATGTAGTAGGCATC